TCTAGAATTCCAGACCATCCCTACTCTTCCCTCTGCCAGACAGAACCGTTCAGAGGTGGCTCAAGCCTGAATGAGCCCCCGGCAAGGAGGCAGCAGTCTGTGTGGCCCATCAGGAGACAGACTTCTGACTTGCAGCCAGGCAGGGGGATGGACTGCCTGACCCTCGGCTTCAACCCCAGTCTGTCTGCCAGGCCCTGCAGTAAACATTCCAGAGATGGGCAAAACAAATGTTTCTCCTGGGAAGGTGAGGCCCCATTGAGACCACAGCTGCTTGGGTGGTATTGGTAGTAGTGCACAGTGCTTCGGGGTTCCAGGTTAGAATCAAGTTTAGGGCTGCCAGTTGTGCAGGTTGGCCTCAGAATGTGCCCCCACATTGCAATGGCTGTAGACCTGTAAATTTATTACAAAGGTGTGCCAGTAGATGGCAGTCAAGTGTCTCCAGGAAAGGCCACCCTACAGACAGTGTTTGTTTACCCGGTCAGCGAACATTTGTTAAGCCTATGTCCTCGGCCATAGCTCATAATGCCGGATACTGGAGACACATTGAGCATTGAGACTCAGTTTCTAGTTTCCAGGAGCTTATAGACTAGATGTTTGCGGGCAGAGGACAGATAAGTGATGCATAATGACAATGTGGAGTGGTAAGGGCTGGAATGGCTGTAAGTGCACTGTGCTGTAGGAACCAAGGGAGGACACTCAGCCCAGCCAGGGAAGGGGTGCTATCAGGAAAACTCAACAGAGTAGATATCACTCATGGGGATCTTGGAGCATGAGAAAGAGGCAACCAAAGAAGTGCCAAGCAGAGGGGATGGCCTGTGCAGAGGCTTAGAGGCATGACAGCACAGGGAGTATTTGGAGAAGCGCAGAAAGTTGAATGTGGCCATGAAGTAGATGGAAGTAGAAGGGGTAAGTGGACCCCAGCCAGCAGGGTCCAGATCATGAAGGATGCCAGGGCTCTGGACTGGATCCAAAACTAAAGATCACTTAGAGAGTATTTCCAGGAGAGGCTGGAAATTCTTCCCTCTAGGGTTTGAATACCCAGATCACTCATGTGACTTTGAGCAGAGACTTCTCCATCTGGAACATATGGGGAGTGATCCCTGCCCTACCACCCCTCACGGTTGGCATGAGAGTCAAATAGGAAGAAGGATGTGAAGGGGTTGGCTGTCCTTATAGAACAAGGCCACCTCTTTATCCCCATCATCAGCCATCATTCCTTGCACTTCTGGGACAGATCAAAATGAGGTGAACCATAATTCTGCTTTGTCATCCCCAAGAGGGTAAGATTGCTTTGTTTATTTGTGGGTCCCCACAACGCAGCCCCCACTAGGCACAGGGTAAACGCTCGATAGCTCTTTGCTATTGTGGATTCTGTTTCAGGCTGTGGGCTATACACTTTGGAGCTTACTATGTGCCAGGGACTATTTTAAATGCTTTGTATGTCTTGTTCCATGTAATCCTCATAACAACGCTGTGAGGCAGCTGCTACTGTTATTCTCATTTCCTAAGTGTAGAAACTGAGGCATGTGGAGCTTGACTTACCCAAGCTTACAGAAGTGAGTGGAGGAGTTGGGGTCGTATCCAGGCTATCTGTCCTGAAGCCACTGCACTTTCCTCCTTGTTGCATAGAGGATTAAGTGACTTTCTCACCATACCCTTCCCTGGTAGTGACTATCACCACTTGACAAATGAGGAAACTGAGACCCAGAGGGCTAAGTGTCTTGTCTTAGAACACATGGTCGGTGAATAGCAGAGCTAAGGTTTTGCCCAAGCCTATATGATTGCAAATCCATGTTTTTTTTTCCAGTATGCTAGTGATTGTAATCATAGGTTACCATTCCCGTTTCCAGGTCCAGCCAGTACTTCTTTTAAATTTGGAGCTTGGATTAAAAGCAAATGACTTGTTTAAATCCAAGAGGGACACCTACCTTGGATCCTGCTCTGGCCCTTATTAGCCACACCTCTCTTGACAGGCAGAGGAGTTAGGACTAAGGGGATGTACCTACAAAGACCCTGCAAATTATACTCTTAGGCCCTGACCTGGGTACCCAAACTCTAGAATTCCCTCCTCAAAGGGACCTTAGCTCAACTTCAGGGCCTATATAGGCCAGTTCCTTGGTCCAACCTTTATGGGGTGGCCAAAGGACAACCATTTGGGGAGGAGAAGGGAGTAGAAGAAGCTTGGCCACATGGTCTGGGCCATCTACATACTCCCACCAGGAGCCTCAGTGGTGCAGGACAGAGAAGAGTGGGTGGAGAATTAGGGAGGATCTTGGGTGAGGTCTGAAAACCAAAAGCTGGCAATCCCCATGCTGCCATGTGCTGGGTAGAGTGCAAAAAATTCTGAGAAGTATACATTCTGAGTCTTTAAGGTCATTATGAAGTTGTGTCTGTCAAGGAAGGAAGACAGACGTCTCTTATTCAAATGTTTGCTGGCTTGATTTTGTCAATTTTAAATATTTGACATATGACACATAGCTTCCCATTTGTCGCTTCGCCCCAGATGCTGCAAATACTAGACGTGGGCCTGTCCTGGTGTCTGGAATTTGCTGATACTACCTTTAAGGATTCCTGATAAAGTTCACAAACCATGTGAAAAGATTCTCTTCGCATGAGGCTGTCCACACAGGTATTTTATTGAAGACCATTGCTGAGAGAAACAAAATAAAAATCTTGCTTTTGAGTCCCACCTAATAGTTCCTTTCCTACTAAAGTCCTGCCTAGTTGACATCTAAGCCTATCAGGATATAAGAAAAAGTGGTGCTAATATCAGAGCTGTCAGTCAGTCTTGGGAAGAGATTAACTCCACCGGCATCAGCTAAGAATAGGTAGAGAGACTTTGGAAGCAGACAGGCTGAAGCAGTTAGTGAATTCATAGAAAGGATTCTTTCACAAATGGAAGGCTAAAAAAATGGCTGATGATACCAATCTTCCAAGGAAAAGGAGACTAAGAAGGTTCTTTAATGCTTAAAAAATTATCCATTAGAAATCAATCATGTGGCTACACCCAGCTGATGGGAGCATTGGGATGCACATTTTTATGTACCAATCTGTAAACTCTCTTACTGTGGAAAAAGGAGAGAATGAATATTAGCAAGCGAAGAGCTGTCTCTGTCCCAGAGAAGGTTTATGGAAATGCTTAACACCATGCCCAGTTCACAGCAAGTCTCCAAGAACTATTAGTGTCATCCTACCAATAATCAAACAGAGAAAATGGAAACTTTTGTTACTTTTTGTGAGATGATATCTAAACCCAGAAAGACCCCAATTTTCACTGCTGTTTTTCAGAGTTGAGCAAAAGCACAGATATGGAATTAGAAGTCCTGAGTTCACATCCCTTAGGCAAAGTATTTAGTCTCTCAGGGTTTCCGTTTCTTCATCTGTAGGTTGGAAATAATAATACCTACTTCATGATGGTAGTTGTGAGCGTTAATGAGAAAGGCTGTAGGTTAAACTCTATAGCAGAGTTTCTGGCACAGAGTTGGTACTCAATAAGTGTTTTTTCATTGGTCCCTTCACCCATGTATTCATTCAACAAATATTAATTGAGCTCCTATTATGTGTTAAGCACTCGGGTAGGTGTTGGGAACAAAATGATGAAGACAATAGGTTGTTTTTGACCTCAGGGAGCTGTATTATAGTTTAGTGATACACAGGCATTAAACACAGTTACTAATTATAATTAATTATAGTTGTAATAAATAGTATGAAGAAAATGTGAAGAGACTCTCAGTAGAGAGATGAATCATAGGTCAAGATTAGGGTGCTTATGGAGAAAAATGACCAGGTAAGTGAATTTGAGAAATAATTAAAATGTAGAATCAGTGAGTATAGAAAGGGAGAAAGAGATATCAAGGATGATGTCTACATTTCTGTCTTAAGCAATGGGTAGACAGGGTTGTCATGTACTGATGATGGGGAAGACAGAGGCAGGGATGTAGAAGAAAGTCTATGGAAAGAAGGATGGATGGATGGATGGATGGACGGATGGATGGATGGATAGATGGTAGATGTTCAAAGGGACAAATGAGGACTGCTTCATTAGACAAAGAAAAATTGAGAAATGGGTGAGACTGGATAGAGGTATAGTAAGTGTTTGGTGAAGTACATAGGACATATAGGTATAACTCAATAAAGCAATACTGCATTGTTTATTTACGCAGGATTCTCTTTTTTGGGTAGTTAGAATATTTGGATAATGGGCATCACCAAAATGTTGACTTTTGTTAAGAACTAAAATGCCATAACATTTTTAATGTTAAAAGAACACAAAAATATATACTTGAGAATGAGACTGGATTGAACAAAACTGTATTTTCTAAAGTCTTTAAATTACACACTCTATAGCAATCATCATTCTTTTATACATTCAACATATTTCTGAAGACTAAATTGAAGAGTGGGAGTATACCAAGATAAACCATGTGTGGTTTTGCCTTCAAAGGGTAGGGGAGACAGGATTAACATATATGTGAAGATAACACAGTGAAAATCATGAATTTAAGAGAAATGTGGATAAAACACTGTAAATATCCTTTAATTCTTTTAAAAATTAATACACAATAATTTACATATTTATGGGTAAGTAGTGGTGTTGCGATACATGTAATGTGTAATGATCGGATTAGGGTAGTTAGCATAGCCTTCATTTAGAACCTTTTCATGCGGGATTCTTTTTCTTATTTAATCCTCAAAGTAACCCTTAGAAATATGTAGCACAGTTAATATCATTCTTTTACAGAGGCTAAAACTGAGATGCAGGGGGGTCAAGTAACATGACAGAACCAGAACTTGAAACTCCAGTCTTCCTATCCACCCTCTCCCCTTTACCACACACCACCTGTAAGTTATAAGAAAATCAGCAGTGAAGGTGGGAGGATAGAGTAGGATGGCCGAGGGTGTGTCTTGATATGCACCTCTGGGGTAAAGGCCTTTGGGAGAAGGGAGAAAAGAGTAAAACAGCCTGCATCCTTACCCAGCTGATTTCTTCTCCTTTACAGGTCCAAGTATTTCCATGGGAAGAAGGTGAATGGAGAGATCGAGATCCGAGTGGAGCAGGTAGGTGGGAGCTGTGTCTTTATTTAGCACCGTTATATGACCTTTCTGCAGTTGGGGCTGTTCTTACACTCAATCTTGGTCTCCATCTTATGTGGTCATAATGAGCTAAGATTACCAGAGAAGTCCAAGTTTATACCTGGGAGTCTCATTAAATTTCAGAATTATTTTGGCCAGTGGTTTTCAACCTTTTGTGTTTTAGCAGAGACCCTTTCTTTAAAGGAAATGTCAAATAGGAACTCATTCTGCAAAACAAAGACATGTAAAGCTGCTGTGATGAAAATGGTCAGGTGGAACCCAGTGTCTGTTTCATACTGTTCCTTGTGGCCCCGGGGGCATCTCCTTGCAGCCACTTGGGCTAGAGAGCATAGTTTAGGAACATAATGAAGGGCCTTGAACCTGCCTCTCTCATTTTCTAGGTTTTACACAGATGACTTAATCCCTCTCTGCTTCAATTTCCATATCATTGTGGGGATTAAATTATTTAATTATTTAAAACCTCAGAAGGCATCAGAATCACAAATACTATCTCTTGCTATTGCTATTTGTTTTTTTTTGTTGTTGTTTTTTTTTTTGAGGTGGAGTTTCACTCTGTCGCCAGGCTGTAGTGCAGTGGCATGATCTCGGCTCACTATAACCTCTGACTCCCTGGTTCAGGTGATTCTTCTGCCTCAGCCTTCCGGGTACCTGGGATTACAGATACACGCCACCAAGCCCAACTAATTTTTGTATTTTTAGTAGAGACAGAGTTTCACCATGTTGGCCAAAATGGTCTTGATCTCCCGATCTCAAGTGATCTGCCTTCCTAGGCCTCCCAAAGTGCTGGGATTACAGATGTGAGCCACAACGCCCAGCCACTATTGCTATTAATATCAATATCTAGGTCCCTCATTTTATATGGAAAGAAATAGGGATTTGTTTAGGACTGTGTAGGGAGGCAGTGGCAGAATCAGGAGTAGAAGGTGTGGTCTCCTGGGTCCAGATCAAAGCTTTCTCCTGTTCGTTTGGTGAGAACCTCCTGTCTGTCAAACACTGTGCTCAGCCTTAGGAGAGTACATTTGAGCATGGGCTCTGGAGCCATACTCCAGGTTTGAATCCCAACACTACCCCTTATTAACTTTGTGACCTCGGTTGAGTAATACTTATGCTCTCTCCAGCTTGATTTCTTCATCTTTCCAACTAGGTTAATAATAGCATCAGCCTGTGTTCATAGGGTACTGTGAGGATTAAATGGGTTAGTCCATGAACAGTGCACACAACAGTACCTGGCACATACTGGGCACTTAGTAAATGTTACCCATTTATCATTAGCGTCATTATCTTCCTCCTCCTCCTCTTCCTTCTCCTCCTCCTCTTCCTGCTTCCCCTCATCAAAGACAAACAGTAAATAATATAGACAAAGTCCTTGCTGTAAAAATGATTTCAAAATACAATTTTAAGATAGGGGGATGTGACTGTTCTTTTCCCTGCACTTTTTGAACTTAGTGTGTCAGAGAAACAGAAAGATCTTCTAAGCATCAAACTGAGTTGGCTTAATATTAAAACACCTACACTTTGAATTTCAATATGATTCTGTGGCTTTCAAGTCAACCTGGTGTCTACTGGTTTTCCTTCCATGGCAAGAAGCAGGTTATTTTTGTTCATTTTGCAAATATTTGTCAAGAGTCTACTATGCTAGCTAGCTAATATGCAGAGAATGAGTATATAGAAGCAGAGGCCCAGTCCCCAAATGCCTGTGGTCTAGGAGGGGAGGTAAGCTCTTTTCTTTTTTCTTTTCTTTCCTTTCCTTTCCTTTCCTTTCTTTTCCTTTCCTTTCCTTTCTTTTCCTTTCCTTTTCTTTTCCTTTCTTCCTTTCTTTCTTTCTTCCTTTCCTTTTCTTTCTTTTCTTTTCTCTTTTCTTTTCTTCTTTTCTTTTCTTTTCTTTCTTTTTGAGATAAAGTCTTACTCTGTTGCCCAGGCTGGAGTGCAGTGGAGTGATCTGCAACCTCCGCCACCTGAGTTCAAGCGATTCTTCTGCCTCAGCCTCCTGTGTAGCTGGGATTACAGGCATGTGCCACCATGCCTGGCTAATTTTTTTTTTTTTGGTATTTTTAGTACAGATGAAGTTTCACTGTGTTGGTCTGGCTGGTTTCAAACTCCAGCCTGACCTGCCTCAAATGATCTGCCTGCCTTGGCTTCCCAAAGTGCTGGGATTACAGGCATGAGCCACCCCACCTGGCCTACAGAAGAATAACATTGATGATAGTCTCAAACTTCTATTGAACATTTACTATTTGCCAGGTGCCACATTAAGTGCTTTCCATGCAACAACTCATTCAGTCCACACAGTAGCCTATTGCTGAGGAAACTGGGGCCCAGAGAGCTTAAATAAATTGCCCAGGCAAGCCACATGCAGTGAAGCTGGGATTCTTACAGGTGGAAGCTAAAGAAGAGAGGCCCAAACTTGGCACTCCAGGCAGCAGAGGTCACAGTCAACTGAAAGACTCAAATGTGGCCTCGAAGAGGGAGTGGTGTTTGAAATAGATCAAAGGATGGATAGGATGTCAACAAGTGGAGATAGTGGTGTGAAGAGCGTGTAAATGGAGGAGGCAGTGTGAGCAAAGATAAGGATACCAGAAGTACAGGGTATTGAGTGACAGGGAGTGTGGTATGGTTCTCCAAAACAGGACACATCATCTTCCCCTGTGCCCATCCTACTCCTCCTCCCTAATTCCCTCTCTCAGTGAAGAGTGTGACCATCTACCTTCCACCTTAGCCAGAAACCTGTACCAGCAGCTCCCAGACGTGTCCCTATCCCTGTATCACTATACCCATTCAATGACTGGATCCTCCTGACTCTGCATCTGATATTTCCTAGTCCTTCCACTTCTCCCTTCATCCCCTTTACCTAGATACTTGGCTGGACCACCCAAAACTCTTGTCCAGTCTTCCTCATCAACAGCCTCACAATGTCATGTTTTCCACCCATCTCCAATGTATCCTTCATATCAAAGCTAGAGTGATCTTCCTAAAAAAGCAGATTAGGTCCTTTGAAATGTTAGCTTTAAAATCCTTTCCTCAAAGATTCCTTCTGAGGCTTTTCCAGATTTAAATCAGGTAACCTGGTTATTCCCTTTCATAGCTCCTCAACTTTTCCTTCCTGACCCTTATCTGAATTTTTACCCATACATTTTGGGTGGGATGATTTGCATGAGGGTAGAGACCATGACTGTCTGGATCTTACCCTAAGTAGCACTGGGCCTGGTGCAAAAGAGAATTGAAGGAAACATTTGCTGAATGAATAACTGACAGATTCCACAGATTTCAGGCTGCTTGTCAGTTTCCAAGGGCAATAAGTCAGCACTTCTTAATCTCCCCTCACAAATCTGGGTTTTTCATAAACCATCTGGTAAATGCTTGGTTGCCAGCTGAGTTCACCCTGCCTCATCCCATTTGTGGAAACCCCAGGGGCATGTTTTAATTTTCCCCTTTTATCTCAGCAATGCCATTGGCCTACCTTGTAAGGTACAAAATCTATGAGCAGGACCATTAGGGAACTGCCCTAAGAATAACTCACCCAGGGGGTCTGGGGACACTCAGCCAGTCTATGAGAACTACAATCACACTGACAAACCTTGGCTAATTTAGAGTTGTTCTGATTTTCAGCCATGCCCCTCTGTGAAAGCCAGAAGGTGAATTAGCCAGGAAACCAATTAGCAGGTCATTTGGGCATTTTTCCCCAGAAGACATACCTTTCCAAATCCATCTTGGAATCAGAATCACTTGTCTTTGCCCATCTGTATCAGTGGGTGGGACACATAAGCAACCCCCCAGGAATCTCACATGCATCCTTTAGCACTTGGGAAAAGTCTCAAGATGAAAGCCACTGTTTAGTCTGAGCTGGCCTCACATTTTGAGAGCCTGTTTCCCAACCAAGGGCCAAATTAACCAGATAATTGTACTGTCTGGGTTTTGCTGAACAGAGCGAAAGAGTTAGTTGTGGTTGGCCTAGAGGAAGCCTCCGCCCCTTCTCTCAATCCTCTTCTCCCAAGTCTAAAAACTGCTTGCCTCAGCTTTTACAGAGCCAGGAATCAAGAAACCCTGGGAGGCCCGTTGGGGGACAGCACCATTTTGCATTCTGTTACCCACAATGCCCTACTGGCTCTGCGGGGGCCTCACAGCAGTATGCTAGTAGGGTCTGAGAGGATCAGGCCAGGATGGTTGGCATGTCAAACTCTCCTCTGTTTATATTTGAGGCAAAGGGTCTTTTTCTCCACAGGCACAAGTCACCCCTCTGTGGGACCAAGCAATGAGGTTGATGAATGGATTAATATTAAATAGACTCACAGTTCTGGGCCATCAGTGGACTAGGACTTAGTAGGGTAGAGCCTCGGTCTCTAACTTTTAAAAGAAAATACTGAAATCACCATGGCCAGTCTTTCCTCTTTAATGCAAGTACCAAGGCAGAAAGAACACTAATGCCTTGCTTTAGCAGATGGAGAAAAAGGCAAGAGAAGGTGTAAACCCTGCTCTTGTGCAACTCCCAATCCAATGAAGAAAGCCGAACAAGCGATGGATTTACATATGAATACTAGTTGCTCCTTTGAGTACCTGTCGTTGTGTAATGTTGGGTTGGGATGAGGTTGGGATGCTGTTCAGGGAAGCTGCTGTTGGGAGCTCTGTTTATCTTCTGCTCTATATATATTGAACATAAATGTCTTCTGAATGGAAAGGTGAGATATTCCCCTTAAAACATTTTAAACACTTCAGACCCCATATTTATATTTTCTCATATGCACTTCAGCCTTCAACCCACAACTCTTTCTGGGACAACCTTTCTTAGAATGGACTTTAACTGTAGATATTGACCATAAAGACCATGTGATATTTCAAGAAACAGTCAGTGGTCAACAAGGTAGAGAAGTGGAGGTTGGATGTTAATTCATTTTGGTCAATAGGTAACAGGTTGAACATCATCCTTATTAGGAAATGGTTACTTGATAGAAATAAATACACTTTGGGAG